TTTCAAATTGCATTAGGTATTGATTCTATAATCAATGGTATAGGTATACAATTTTAACCTATGTCCTATTTCATTATAAACAAAATAAATGTTATTCAAAATATATATTTTGAATGTCCTTTTTTTTTTTTTTGCTTTTTATGTTCTGGCCCACTATAACTTTGAGTTGCCCATCCCTGGTATAGGTAATATAAAATAAAATACATTATTAATTACTATTATGATTTATGTTATGTATTTCCTATAGGTATTATATCTTAGTATTTAAACGATACTATCCTGAGTCACTGATTCATATTTCATAATCAACGCAAAGCCGAATCTATTAGATTTATTGATTTAAAATTTCGAGGGTAAATTAATATTATAACTTCACGGTGTACAAAGAAAGAATTTTTTAAATTTTGATTTTAAGAAGTTAAAATTGGTAAAAAACAAATTTTTACGTGTAAATACTAAATTGTACTCCTATATATGTCGATGAGTAAACGCTTATAGACCGTGAGCCTCTAGCTCACATTTTTAGGCTCTTTTTTATATGAACAGTTTTATGTGTCATGCTCCAGAGTCAGCACGCCGACAAGTTAAGTAATTTTGACATAAAATGAAAAGTTTAGTTATACATAGGTTTAAATAGAAGTTTTATAATAAAATTAAATTCTTGTCATAAATTATTATTTTTATTACCTATTAAAATTTCAAGGACAATGTGGCGACGGGTAACTCGCTAGTTATTATAACAGATGAAAAAATAGTGTTGGAATAGGTACTTACATTTATCATTTTTCTGCCATATAGAAACTAACATAGGTACGTACCGAGTAGAAATTCGTACATATCATTTTTCTGCCATGTGTCAACATGTATGTTTTTTTATCTACTAGATTTTGTGTAAGAACTTAATTTGCCCACTGAGTATTTATGATTTTAAGTTTAAAAATGTAGGTACTGTTTGGCCAATGGTAATTTTTTTTTTTGTGTGTGTATTATTATTAAATTAAAAACTTATAAATTATTACTGTGAATAATTTCGTCACGGGTACCCGAACCGCTGGACGCTGACCGCCTAGACAAGACTAGTCATATAAAAATATAATACTTAGATAACAATGATTGCCGATAAATCGCGGGCCCGGGCGATTGACGCAACATAGAACGATAATAGGTATGTGTATAACTTTGGTATAGTCGTAAACTCACTCACAACCTCTGACCATTGTATGAATGTCGTGTCTAACGAGTCTTAGCAATAAATAAAATAAATTATAATGTTATAAATATTTTTTCTTGAGTTATAAAGCTTAAATTTTATTGTTATATTTCGTCATACATATCTTTCCGTGACTCCAAAATAAACGATTCAAATCTATACCTTTTGATTCTTTTATTATTACGGTCCAGATCAAAGGCAATGAATACCTACCTTTGTCCTGATTCTACAAACCATATTTACCAATATTGGTTATAGTTAAAAAAATGATTTGTGGCCCTAAAGTAATGCCAACAGACATCGTAATTTTCGTTATTAAAGTATAAGTTTTGTGTGTAAATACTAAATAGTGTATAAAATAAGATAACTTAAATCATTGTTAAAAGTATAGAATAGATTCAAATAATTCTACAATCTAGGTAAGTAGTAGGTATATATTAATATGCAAATACCTTTTTTGCCATATTTACCTCTAACTCCACCTGTATATACAAATTACAAGGACGTACACTCGTATCTGAGGGGGAGGGTTTCCAACCTAATTCAAAAAGAATTAAGAACTATTAGCGAAACGCTACCGCGGAAGAAAGACTGGCCGATTTAGAATTACTTGGTACCTATACTCGTACATAGAAATATGTGTGTTGATCTTGAACAATTATTTAGTAATCAACCGTTTTACTAAAGAAAATTTATAGAAATTTAGAATTTGTGCTGTCAAATTGAATTTTAATTTATATTATGTATTAGATACACATAGATAAACATAAAATTATAAAAAACCTAGCCCCCCCCCCCAAAAAAAAAAAAAAAAATTGTTCTGGGTACGACTTTGTCTGTATCCATAGCAAGAGAAATATATATATATATATATATATATATATATATATATATATATATATGTTACGATAAATGATGTTATATCAGAAATTAACGTTATTCGCCGGTTATTAACGTTATTTACCTACGAATGTGGGAATTATCGTTATTTTCTAGTGAATAACGTTAATAACCGTATGATTTGGGAAATTTTGATCTGATTATAAAATAAAAGAGGTTATTGCGGAAGATTTAAAAAAATAACCAAAGAACCAATCATCAAAGAAGACAAAATCGGAAATTAAATCATAGAAATCGCAGAAAAAAATTCGGAACTTGGTACTTAAATATTTTTTAATTATTTAACGATAAATTTTCGAATTTTAAATATAACAAAAATAAAACTAAAATATAAATATTTGAAAATTATTTTAAATATTTTTTTGATGATTGTCAAGAAAATATTTGTATTGTATGTAAAAATTCAAAAAAAAATTTAGAAAAACAAGGAGAGGAAATGATGAAATTTTCTAAAGAAAAGTTTCCTCGGCTTGAAATAGGCTTAACTGTATGTGTATTTATACCAAACGTTGATAGAGCTCGTGGTTCTATGCAAAATATACTATTAGTTGTCACTCAAGTTGAACATGATTTATACAAACTCTGTAAGTTAATTCTTAATGAAAAAATATACTATTAAAATTAAAATTTGTTTTATTATTTTATAAATACGGAATATAGTTTTCTTAAATATTATTTCACATGCCAAAAATAGCTGTTTGCAAATAAAATCTATTAGACATGGACAATGTGATAAAATTAGCAGATGGTAGACAGTTGACACTGAGGGAAGTAGCTAGTAATAATTCGGTTGCGAGCCCTCGAAGGTACCAGCGTTGTCATTGCAAGACTAGTTGTAATAATAATAAGCATTGTGCTTACCTTGGGGCTGAAAAATTATGTTATATTAAATGTCATGGGAGTAAAACTTGTAAAAATAAATAAAAAATAATAATGCATTTATTCTATTTTTAAAAATATCTGGGTACTTACATAATTTTTTCAAATTGTAGTATTTGAGATTCATGCGCTTATCTGATTTATAACATCAATTACCTGTGTATTTGGTCATTAACGTGATTATCCAGTTTATAACGATAATTACCTGTATATTTGGTAAATAACGTTAATAACCGGTGAATAACGTTAATTTCCATTTAACATCATTTACCGTAACATATATATATATTATTGGAAAGATATTATTAAAAAGTTACAAGTTACACAAAAAAAAGAACACTTATAATTTTGCTGTTGAGGCATAATAGCTAATGATTGTCATACATCATATTATTATCATTGATTAATGATTATAAATACTAAAGATTAATTATCGACTGTATTTATAATCAATATTATGTTAATTATTCATTGCAAATTTTACATCATAAAGCAATGTCGTTTGTAAGTTTTGGACACAAAAATTAAATCACGAATTACCTATTTATCTATTATAAACGTTTAAACTTTAAACGAATAAAAAAGCACTAACACCGATACTTCTTTTTCATAAAATTTTAAAGCGTGTCGATTTTACAATTAAAACGGATTACCAAGTGAAATTTTAATTAATGGAAGGTACTAGTAACAATAATTACTAAGTATAAATAATTAAACTATCACGTTTTATTTCTCAACAATACAAGTAGATGCAAAATAATAGGTCCATATTATCACTTAATATTTCAAGAGATTGAATATTAAATATATATGCTTTAACAAAGCATTATCAACATATTATTTTAAATACCCATCTATATTCCGTTTCATAAGACACACTCCTATTAAAATCGGTTCTTTTGTTCACCCGCCTGTATAGTTGAACCTATTTAAAGGTATAACCTAGTGGTAATGTGCAGAATCGATGAATTCTTTCAATTGGCAGGTTTTGAAACATTTAAAAAGAAGTTTGAAACTGCATTTTTAACAAATATTACACCAAAGCTTATCATTCTTATTTTATTATAATTTAGTTAAATAAATTTTCTTCGTGTTGACTTCAAGAGTTAATCTAATTTAAGTCTTAGGTAGGTATTTAACAGTCCAGTAAATAGGTGTTTGAATTCCATTTTAAACTTAAGTGATATTTATAGTATAATAGAATCTATCTTCAATAGATAAAAAGGAAAAAATTATATCAGTTAAAATACACGATATTTGACTGTATAAAATTAAACTTTAATAGCAAACTGTCCATGAAATTATTTATAAATACACAAATAGGATTCTGAAGTACTAGATATACTATTAATTACAATTGTATATTAAGTATAAAATATGGATTAAAAATACATATCATTGATACATCACGTAATCTTTGATCGAACATCAAATATTTACTAGTTTTTGTCAAAACTCAGTAAATGACAAAATTATACAATATAAACTTTTTTTTTTAAAGTTTTTAGCCGTTTAATTAGATCGTTACATTTGACATTATTAGCATCATGAAATATTTTCTTTTTCAATAGGTCTACTGAGAATATAATAATTATTACAAATGTTACATTAATAAAAACTCTAACTACAATTTATGAAAAATTTGAATGCTTTTTTAGATTTAATGAGTATTAAAAATAAATAATAAGTGCTTATAATTTAAAAATAAACCAAAAATATAGAAATCAATTAATACAGAAAATTGTAATAAAATAAATGCTTGTCCCTAATATTAACACATTACAGGAAAAACTAGTTCATTGCGAACCACAGTATTCTTATATTTATATTTATTTTAACCAAGACAAAATTTGTAGTTATCTGTTAATAATGATTAACTGTTATTACAATTATGATTTTATATAGGATACTTTAAAATTTAAGTTATACTTTAAAAACTAAGATGATATTTTCATCTAAAAACTAAAAGATTTGGCTACAAAATGATAATTGTTTATTTATTAAAGAACTTAAATATTTCAAGTTTATAAATGGCATGAAATACTATTTATCATTATTAAAATGTAAACAAATTATGTGGCTATTGATGTTTTATCAGTTTCTTCCATATAATTTTTGAAAAATTCACATCTGTAAAAAATCAAATCAAGATTTTAGTTTTTAACATGAACATTTATTCTTGATATTTAGTTCAATCATAAATAATCTTATTTTGCTAGGAGTTTAATTTAAGATACAAACAAAAAGCAATTAATAATGTTTATATTTGATTTCAATAGGTCAATAAAAAATTTGAAAAAATAATGGTTCTAATAATAAATATTACATAAAAACGGTTTAAGAACATGTAAAGAGTAAAATAGTGCTAAAATAAATAATAATTGGTTTTTACCTATGATCTTGAACGACTGGCTGACTTTGAATGTCCTCTTGAACTTTTACTACCAGAACGTGAACGTGAACGTGATCTAGAATAAGAACGTGAACGACGGCCACGAGACCTGGACCTTGAGTATGAACGACGTCTAGGCGAACGAGACCTAAATCAATAGTATTAATATGAATGTATAATTAAAACGAAAGTTAAGTAACATACAACAATGTTTATGTTTAAAAACACATTAATATTAATTTCATCCAGTTGGGGTTAATTTATTTTTCATTTAATATTAATGAGGATTAAATTATTCAAGCGCAATAATAAAAGAAAAATGTGGGCATTGTAAAAAATTAAAAACCAGCTATTTCCTAACCCTAAACAGAGTTGCCAGGATGACTCAGGATTGCTTTGTTTAGTTTTATTTATTTTTTTAATTCAGCAAACTGAAATCTGCAACTGGCACTCGGCTGATCAGCAGCTAGTCAGCACTCAGCATGCATCTGCTATGGGCAGGAACAACGCCCTCGCCTTCTACTGCGGTCAGCACGATTATTACACCTTAGCTCAGCCTCAGCCTCAGCCACAGCACTCAGCCGCCACTCCCCAATTACACCCCACACCTGAAAATAGTGTCGCTGCTATCAATGGGTTTTCAACAATGCTCAGTCTTTTAACAAAATAAAGTCATTTTTTTTCGATATTAAGTTAAATTAATGAATAAAATAAAAATTTAAGATAATTAATTCAGATAATAAATACTTAAAATAAAAAATTATTAACAAACAAAATTAACAAAATCATATTCTATTAAAAAATTATATAATAAAAAAAAATAACAATATAAATTTGTCTTAATTGAAAATACCTAAATAATATTTTTTTACCATCTTGTCATAACATTGCTTGACATAAAAATTTAAAACATACTTCATAATATAAAATAGTGTATTATTATTTCTTATTAGTTATTATGTACATTTATTTGATGGATACTCGTTTAGTTTTAAGAATCAACCAAATCTATATATTATTTTACATAAGAATTTTTTTATGCCAAGCAACAATAAAAGGGTTTATATTTAGATGAATTAATGTTAGTTTAGATGTTTTGGTTTACTACACACATAGTTTTGAAGAAGCCGAACATTAAGCTGTAAAATTAAACATTTTATCTATTATTATTAGGATATTATACCTCCTGCGTCTTCTTCTATACGGCGAAGTTGGACGTCCATAGCGAGCCATCTGAACACGTAACTCTCTACCATCTAACATGCGACCGTCCATTGCATCTAACGCATCTTCAGCATCACGTTTATCATAAAATCTGAAAGAAAAAAATTTATAAAAAACTATTTAGTAGTAAATTATTTATAAAAACTGCATAATAACAATATCAGGGAGATTATGCAAATCAGATAAGATCAAAGTTACGGATCACAGCGTTTAATTATATTGTCACCAAAGGGAACGTCAACCCGACCAGCAGGGAAGCTCTACCAATGGTGACAAATATTAATCTGTATCGAGCTCAATGCTAAATTTTATAATCATTTTTGCAAAATCAAACAGCTACATTCACGCGCATTTATCTGGTAGTAGGACATACTACTATATTAAAATGTAACAAATGTTATACATACCTGACAAAAGCAAACCCTCTACTCTCTCGAGTAAACCGATCACGGGGAATGTAGATGTCTCCGACTTCTCCACACCTCTCGAACACTCTCCTCAGATCCTCTGGCGTTGTCCTGTATGTGAGGTTGTCAACTTTCAGCGATACCATGCCTTCAATCCGTGGCGGAGGTCTGCTGTAACTCATCGTGAATGTTGTGTTTGCGGTAACTGGTCTTTTATGCACACCAAATAAACCGAAATCCACTTTAATACGCGCAAACTATTGAGCGATAATATTTACCGCATGACAATAACACGTGTGACAAACGTATAAAATAAAAAATGTATAAAACAAAAATCTGGAATCGGCGACCACGCAGACGAGACGACCGTGAAAATGGCGGACGTATTCTTTACGATCGTTAGTCGTTACTCGTTAGAAGTTACGCAGCCGGATAGCGTGACTCATAACGAAATGGCTCATGGAGCAAATTAGACACTATAGACAATATATAACTCTCGTGGAACTGTAAATGTTGAACGCGTCTTTTTACAGTGTCACCAACATGACTAAACGATGATACGATATATACCACGGGAGTTGTAATACCATAGAACACTATAGAAGCGACACTCACCCCTCCACTTTTATTTTCTTCATTTCGGAGCGACAAGAATGATGTTGTAAGCTTGGCGGTAAGACATGATGTTACGAACACTTTTAACATCAAAATGCATTGCTCGAGATCAGCCCGCCAATTTTTAAAAAAAAAAGGTCACTGCATATTACCACTTAATAAGATTTGTATAACCCCTCTTCCTTGAAATTTTTTATTTTGAATATAATGAAGGTGCAAATTGTTTGGAAGACATAGAACAAGTACTGAGTAATTTAAATAAAATACCAGCTGAAGATTTAAAAACAGTATTCCCTGAAAACCAAAAGGTAATTCAAATTAATCCATTACCCATTGATGCAACCAATTACAGATCATTAGAATTGCCAGAAAGAAATGCTTTTACATATATATGTGGTTATTTAATAATGAAGTGTTATAACATGCATTCTTGTGAAACGTGCATAAGATATGGCAGAACTACCACAAAGTTATCTGATGAATTTTTTTTCACACACTTCAAATCACATCAACACAGCTCTATATCTATGTTTTCATCATTAATGACTCCAGATTGTAATTTTTACCAATATATTTTTGAATTAGACATTATATTTACAAACCAATTTCCTACTTTAGCACCATCACCAAAAGTTGGGCAAAAACTTAAAACTTTAATGTTAAATGTATACTTTGAACATCCCTGTGAACAATTCCCCCATGACTATTTGTTAAACTTATATATAAGATTTAGAATTTATACTACTTTGACCAGAACTAACCGTAATTTGCAAATACCTCGCATGAAAATAGAAAATTGCAAATTTTATGTAATTTATAAATATTATTATGTATATATTTTGTTAAATTGTCTTATAGAAGGTAAATAATTCATATTCATTGTATATATTAACATTAATTGTCAATGATGTTAAATAATAATGCATTAATAAAATCATGTCCGAAAAACAAACTACTTACAAATTTATTGAATAAATATCTTTTTTTTTTATTTATTATTAAAAAGAATATATACAATCTGTATTAACTATACAATGAGTAATATGGTTGATTTATTATATATACAAAACTGGACGGCTTGATGGAAGGGAGTGTCCAAGCAACACTACTTCAATTCTAGACTTTTATTTATGTTTTTTTTTTTTTTTTTTTTTTTAATGGTTGAGGAGGTCCCTGGGCCAATTTCGCTTTAGACGACGTGGAGGGTTATCTGGGAGAGTGACGGATGAGAGGTTGGAAATGAGTGGATTAGGGTGGTTTACTGTGTTATTGTGAAATAATTTATAGTAATGGGAGGCTAGGGTGCTTATGTATGGGATATTAAGGTCAGAGTGGAGTGATAGGTTGCTGACGTACCAGGGTGCGTTTGTGAGGAGACGAAGACAAATTGATTGGAAGGATTGGAATTTTTGAATGTTGGATTTTTTGGAGGTGCCCCATAGCTGTATTCCGTAAGTCATTGAAGGGCGGAGAATTTGTTTATAGATTAGTAGTTTTGTGTTTAGTGGGAGATTTGATCTAAGAAGGTGTTTCATTTTGTGGAGTTTAAAGTTGAGTGATTTCCTTTTTGCTTTTATGTGAACTGCCCAAGTGAGTTTACTGTCGAGGTGGACTCCTAGGTAACGGGTGGCTTGTGCTTTGGGAATCGTGTCGTTGTTGATAGTCATGGGGGGGCTATGGTCAGGACGTAGAGTAAAGGTTATGTGGGTAGATTTATTTGGATTTATTTTGATTCTCCACAAGTTGAACCAGTTTTGTAGTTCGTTGAGATGGGATTGAAGATTATCAGATGCTATGGTTAGGTCAACATTAGTTGATATTATGCCTGTGTCATCTGCGAAAGTAGCAAGAGTGGTGTTCTCGAAGTGAGGGATGTCGGAGGTAAATAACCTTAGCCATCATAAATTCAATATTCGTATTATATAAAATAAAAAAATTGATGTTATACATAAAAAAAAAAATTAAAATATAATTTATTATTCTCTTATCACAATCACATATTTATTGTATGATTAGGCGTAACAACAAGAATGATGTTGTAAGCTTGGCGGTAAGACAAGAAGTTACGAACCATTTCAAGGCCGTTAAGAATTCTAAACACATTAACATTGGCCGCCCGAGAGTGACGCTTCTATAGTGTTCTATGGTAATACTTATATTTATTATATAAAAACAAAAAAGCCAGTCTAACGCATGGCCAAATAGTAAATAATAAATAATTGATAAATAGTAATAAATAGTAATAGCATTTACTAAGTAGGTACCATGGTCTAGAACTCTTAACTCTAAAGGTCTAAAGTAGTATAACCCAAAGTTCTAATAAGTAATCTTACTGTAGTTTAAAGTCGCTGACTGCTACATTAACCACGTCCAAAGTCTAATTATTTTATTATTATTATAAATTATAATTATTTACTATTTACTATTTTAGTAATTTATTGATGGCATGAACCACAAGTAGCATTTTACAACTACTACATTAATACTGTAATAGAATTTCATAGTTTAAAGCACGGACACACGTTCTTGGATGTTTCATACCGAAGTCTAAGAATATAATCATTGATCATGAATAATTTCGTGAAACAATATTAAGTATAATTCAACAGAGCATTAAGTACTAACTAACATAAATAAATAAGAATACGTCTTGGTTAATTTTTGATATATCCGAGATCCCCTTAGGCCCAAGCACCTTTTCTGCACACTATTCTATTTTATTTCTATGCTTATGCTACGTTTTCTATCGTTTATTAATCTATTAATGCAGAGACAGACTGAGACGGCGAGATACAAGAAAAATTCTCGGTTGAACGTTAATTAAAAATTAAGCAACTTTGTAATTTTACAAAGTAAAATTTATATAAATACTATAATTATCTTGTATTTTGTATCATAACACACAACTGCAAACAACAACATTCTATATAATATTCTTAAAAGCTACTTTATAAATTGTTTTTTATATTTTTTTGATATCTTCTAGATTACTCATTTAACTCTAGTTTCAATGTTTTAAAAATGAAAATGAAAGTAAAAATGTAAGATAGGTTAATTTTATTTATGAGTTTATAAGCAGATATGCAATATGAACTAAGATATTAAAGGAAAAATCAGTTTTATCTATTCATATTATCATATTAGTTAATTTAATACTACACAAATTTCAAAATATTTAATATTTTTACATTATTAAATAGGTATAATTGTGTGATGATTAAATTATTTTTACCAATATATTAATTATTTGTGATGTTCCTAATTAATATAAAAAAAAAAAATTCGATTGAAACTATTAGCTATCTATGTGCTTTACAATTAATAAAATAAAAACTGTTTTGTCAGACTCATCTTAAAATATTAAAATTTAAAATTCTTATCATAAAAATGATATTTATAATATTGGAAATTGTTTAACACCAGTTTTTACATTATATAGGTATCTGAAGTTTTGATAGAACTTTTCTCCTGCGAATTGCGATGAATAATAATAATAAACCATAATATTACGAATTGTTAGATTTGTTTTTTAATATTTCCACCTTAAAATTTAGATGATTATTTTTTGATATACCTACATATTAGTATTAAATATTTATAGTAATCTACTAAATGGTAATATTGATGAATGATGATTGAAACCTTCTTTCTAATCAATATCGACGTCCTTTCATTTATCATCAGATGTAGTTATAGTTGCCTACTGTTTTTTTTTTCTATAAAACAACATTAAACGAATAATTATAGCTCACACAGTCACACTCTGACACTCTGTAAGACTTTTTTTGCAGGAAACAAAATAAATAATTGTTCTACTAGTTACTACTTCTACTGTAGGTTTCGAATGTACCTACCTCATCATTTTTATAAGTCTATACAATGTATGTATTCAATTTAAATTCAATGATAACCATTAACCATTACATAATATAGGTACAAAAAATAATTCTATGATGTATTTATAAATTGCTACCTATTAAAAAAAAAAAGAAAGATTTTTCTATTAATACTATTATAATATTATGGTAGATAATATTAATTTTTGTTGAAAATAAATTAATTTATTCATTTGAAAATCTCATTTTGTAGGTACTTATATAAAATATAATACATCATACACTTGAAAGTTTAAATTACCAATAAATAATATTTTTAACTTTACAAAAAAACAATTAAAATTACATGCAAATTTTGAATTTAAAAAGTCTAAAATACCTGACTCGTGTAAGTACATAATTTTAACATTTATTTTGTATTTCTTTGTAAAAAAATTTCTTATTCCTCCAATTGTGAAATAAATTTATAGTTATAATACCTAAGTAGATTTTTAACAAATTTTCTCTAGGCGGGCTCATTGATTAGTGATGCGACAACATCAATGGATAATATGGACGATTGTTAAAAATATGTATTTTAACGATTATATTATAGTCTTTATAATATTGCAACAATTGATTAATATACTCAATAAAAACACAAAAACAAAACGTGACACGATCGGCCTTTGTATTGATGAGAGACAAAAATAAAAGTAGGTGGACCGCACCGTAACGACATATCGCGGTCCTGAATATCCTGACTTCTGATATATTCTTCATAAATTGTGCCTGGTCCTGGTGGCTGACATGTCAGCCGCGTCTGTATTTAGTAGCCACTGGACCTCCGACCTTGAAACGTTTATTTTGTATATTATTTGCATTATTTATATTATTTGTATTATTTGTATTATTTGCTTTATTTGTATTATTTGATTTATTTGTATTTCGTTATTAAATAAACAAAAAGTCTACATAACGTCGTTTGAAATTATTTTAGGCGGGTAAACAGGAGGAGAAGCCCTGATGAAAATCAGCCACTTGCCGCGTAACGGTCACGGCTCACTTTTCGTCTCGCCTATTATAGTTAACATGGGTTCAGCGCCGTTCACGGTCCGTATGTTTTTAGTTCTTATTATCACTTAGCAATTAACCCAGGGGTGGACAACTGGCGGCCAGTGCCGCGTTAAGCTATGTTGCCGCCCCGGAGCAAATTAAAATATGCCGCCCTTACAAAAATTACAATTCAAAATTATATTCAACACACTATTAATATTAATGATTTACTTGTAACAGAATATGTTTGAGGAAAAAACGTACAGAAATAATGAAAATAGTTTATACGTACAATTATTAGAACAAGTTCTTAATTCTTATCGCCTTGTGACATGTAGCGGTAGACGGCGGCTTTTTCGAGGTATTTATAAACGAAATAATATGTACTCATTATAGTTATACAGTCACACAAAAAAAAAAATTATAATTATAATTTTTTTATTTTATGTTGATCCTCCAAAATTTGCCGCCCCGTCAAACATCATAAAATTTGCCGATGTTAGTGTGTTTAATATTTAATGTTTTTTTTTTTTTTATTTAGTTGCCGCGGCTGGTTACCAAAGTATCTATCCTAGTTACATGATGGCCATGGCGGTGACGGGAGGCCACGGGACTGCCAGCGGTCACCATCACGGTCCCGCGTCCATGTTTGCCGGCCCACCAGCCAAGAGAAAGAGAAGGCACCGGACAATATTCACCGAAGAACAACTCGAACAGTTAGAAGCGACTTTCGAAAAGACACATTACCCAGACGTAGTGCTCAGGGAGCAGTTAGCGCTGAAAGTAGATTTAAAAGAAGAACGAGTTGAGGTTAGAACTTAGTTTTTAGTCCTCATTTAAACTTAAAAGCAGTGGCGAATCCAGAGGGGGAGCTAAAGGCCTCAGCCCCGCCCAGACCTCTTCAACAGTCGTTTTGCTTACACAAATATTTTAAATTGTGTAATAACGCATTATAATAATAATTATAAATAACTTTACTTCTAAAAATAAGTGCAGATTAGATTTTGTATAATAGAAGTTATTTAAAGTAAAATAGTTAAAATTTATAATAGTATAATTATTATAGGTACCTATTAAACATAAGCGATTCCTAATTCAGCCATAATAAAATTAATAACGTTCGCTTAACCATTTTTTTCACATTTTTAGGAACACAAGAACTAGAAAATTATAATGTATAAATTGCTCAGAAGTAATTTTTTAGGCCTCCAAAATTCAATCCTGGTTCCGCCACTGCTTTAAAGTAAACCTAGTTAGCCTATAAACGTTTACATATTTATATATTAGTTTGTGCCGATGTCGATACCACAATTATCTCTCTGTATACTCCGTACAACTCTCTCCAGTGCAATGTTGAACAGAAGTGGTGAGAGAGCGTCACCTTGCTTTAAGCCTGTTACCACTTGAAATTCTTTGGATAGTACGTTGTCGGCTCTTACTTAATAATTTGTACCATTCATGAATATTTTTGTTAGTGAGATAAGCTTACTTGGAATTTCGAATTCATACATAATATTATAAAGGCTTTCCCGATGAATGCTGTTATAGGCCTTTTATAAAGTTGACAAATACCTGCCACATATTTTGCTTGTATTCAAACTTTTTTCTATAATCTGTCCTATCACAAACAGCTGATCTATCGTAGACTTCTCTTTTTGAAACCTGCATTGGTACTCTTTTCTACATTCATCTGTAAACGGTTGTAATCTTCTTAGTAATATCTCAGAGAATACCTTATATAGTTATATGTCGTGTTCAGCAGTGATATTCTCCTGTAGTTATTACAATTAAGTTTGTCACCTTTCTTGTGTACTGGGACAACGATGACTCTGTTTCATTCTTCTGGAAGTTCCTCATCTTTCCATATTTTCTGACATAGCTCATATATTACCTGGTATAGTGCTTCCCTGCCATATTTTATTTGTATTCCATCTGTTATAGGTGCTTTCTAATTCTTCAGACTATTAATAGCTTTTTTTACTTCATGTATGAATACATCATTTACTTTCTGTTTCACCCTATGATCTATCCATGCTGACACTGGTCTCTCTGGTACTCCACTATTAAGCAGTTCTTCAAAGTAATTTTTCCATCTTCTTACTTTCTCAACTGGGCTTACTAAAATTGTGTTATCAATATCCTTGACAGATTTTAGATTAGGGTTAAATTAATTGTACTTTTTTATTGTTACAAAAAAGTTTCGTATTCTACCTTGTGTACAGTCTTGTTCTGTCTCATGCAATAGTTCATTCATGTAGTGTTTCTTTTCTCCGCTCTGCTTCATAATTTTCTTCGCTTAATGAGTTTTAAGTTGGAGATATTTTTGACGAGTTTCACTTCTTTTTCTACTGTATTCCTATAATTACTATTAAGCCATTTATTATCTTGTTTTTTTTTTTTTTGGATGGCCTAGTGTACTATGCGCCATTTCGAATATGGTATTTTTTTATGGTACTCCAGTTCATTTTTTTCTCGTTTTCTTCTTGTTTTCCATTTAATTTACTTGTAATCTCAGTGATATATTTTTGTATTTTTCTTCATCTTTTAGCTCTTCAATGTTGAATTTTGGTGTTTTTGAAAATACCTATTCGTTCTTTATAGTTTGAGCCGAAACTTGTCTATTACTTACTAGGAAATGGCCCGTATCACAGTCTGCACCCCTGTAAATTCTCACATCTGTAATACTTGATTCATATATTTTGTCAATAAATGCATGGTCTATTTAATGCATAGTCCGTCCGTCTGGAGAGTTCGGATATATTTTTGGGTTTTAAGTCGTGCTGCTGACCACCAAATTTATAGATGCTGCAAATGAAATTATTCTCTGACCATTATCATTGCTCCCCTCGTAGACACTTTCTAATCCAATAGTGGGCACAAACATTAGTTCCTTCCATATTTTAGCATTTATGTCTCCTAGTACGATTTTTATTACGCTTCCGGGTAGTCTGTCGGAAATTCTGGTAACTTCATCATAGAATTCATCTTTATCTCTTTCATCACTGTTTTTTGTTGGTGCATGTATATTAATTAGACATATTTCTTTAAGCTTAGTTCTTAATCGTATTGTACAGATTCTTTCGAATATTGAGTTAAATTCACTTACACAAGATTCATAGTTCTTATGGACCGCAAAACCTGTCCCAAAATGATGTCTTTTATCTGTTCCTTTAAAGTAAATAATGAATTCGTTAATCTTCATCTGTCCTTCGCCTATCCATATAATTTCTTGTAGTACATTTCTGTAAAAGTTTGACATTCACCGACACGATATAAGCTTAAGGTGTTCCAAGTCGCGATCTTATCTCCTTATTCTTCCATTTCCTTTTTCCAATTGGCTATCCGTTTCTCTAGTCCTAGGCTTTGTTAGTGATTTCTTAACAGTTTTTATGAAATAGGTTTGTTAGCCCTGCGATCAACTCTCCATACCTTGGAGAGGAGGAGCTCGAGGCTAGGTTCGCCAAACAATAACTGTGTTTCCCCTGGGGGATGACCACTACTACGTCCATTATTTCATGGTTAACCATCACACATGTCCGTGGTTGTTTTGTTTTATCGAGAATCGACTTAATTGATTGCGCTAGCAATTCCAATGACGGCGAGTTTTATTAGGAGACGAATCGTCACCGTACATCGTTTCAACGAAAAATCGTCGACATTTCCAACGACTTTGTCAATATCATCTCCGACAACATCGTTCATTATTTCGTCTGCAGTGTTATTATTCATAATAGGTAACCGTAATAATACCTTCAATTACTTGTTTAAAACTATGTCGATGTCGTTTTCGGCAATTTTATTTTATTGTGATTTGTAACGGTGTAGTGTGTAGGTACCTAAGGTGTTTATCTTCGCTTGAATTCTAGATTACTAATCAGTAATCAACATTCAACTTAATTAGAATATCATCTGACACTATACTCGAGTTTAATTAAAACTTAAAAATCTCCAGATGATGAGTATAACATAGTTTATTTCTAGCCAGCGAGTGCATTCATCCTAATAATTGGTTGGCATTAGGATTTTGAATCCGTTTATTTTTCCAAAAACCATTATAATTATTAATATGTAATATTTAGGCATAATACATTATATTATGATATATTTTTATAACGAGGACTTGGAGTATATTTCATTTTGTTTTATTGTACTGTATCTGTTTTATGCTTTAAGGATGATCTTTTTTTTTTGCTATAAAAATATTTTACATTTAATACGATAACCTAAGCGCCAAGGGCACATAGTCTATCATTTATATACTTACCTACCTACTACCTAATGTTATGTTATAATTTATTAAAATTTATACAATTTTTATAAAATAGTTTATTGATCGGAGTGGTATTTATTACTCATATATATATTATATTTATCACCAGAGAAAACAAATTTTATAGTTGTCGATTATTATTATTTTTTTTTCATACCTACTAAGAGTATATTTTGTGAAGACTAACGATAATTATATTATAATCTTTAAAGTTTTATTAATTACAATTTCTATATTTTATGTATTGTGTATATTTTACATTTATGAGTAACCACCACCTCACCAGGTTTTTTGAACTATTATTATTATAGAATCATCATTATTAGTTATTACCTACTATTAATATAAGTCTTAAATTATCCAAGACGAATTATCTCAGTCCAATTGTTATGCCCTTTTGCTTTCATGGCTCGAAAAGTAAATAAAAAATGTATCCAATCGAAGAGTGCGAGTATAAATGGTCGACCATTGAAATTTGAAGGACAGAATAAAAATTGAAGATAAATTAAATAGATTTAAATAACAATAATATCAATAAATTAAATTTATTTTTACGTCTTGCTATGGCATTTTTTGTTTGGAAAGCTCTGACCAGAGTTTGATAATACTGATAACACGATCTCAGATAAATACGGCTTTATTATCAAATATAAATTATCAATTTATCACATTTTAATATTTTATCTTAGTTCTTAAAACCACCAAATTAAAATGTACTAAGTTTAATAAACTTAATTGTTATTAACTATGTTATAGATTATAGAATAGTCTTAGACTGATCTTATGCATGACTGTTTTTTAATTAAAGCATAACCAAAATATAACTATGCAATAATCATTATTCTAAACGTTATTCGTGTTTGTATAATTATATAAATAATAGTATTAGATTGTTAATTTTTATTAACAGCGCGTAGATTGTTAACGACAAAATCACAACTTCTGTAGGTGCGTGGATAATGTGTAAAATGGAAACAATGACAATGACATGTTCGGACGTGACAAATGACCACCACGTATTGAAGCAACCAACTAAAGTGCTGTTGACCCTAAGTAACGTACTTTTGCCTAAGGAAAAGCTCACGTCCACACCGTCGATGATAGACGGGTTAGATTTCGAGACCGAAGTCGACCTTAGGATCGTTGGATGCGAGTGGATTCAGACTGCTGGCATGCTGCTTAAACTTCCCCAGGTGAAATTTTTAGTTTGTTTTTGTTATTTTACCTACATAGTAAATATTGTTTATATATAATTGTAATGGTGGATGCCAGCTGGTATAGTTCAATGTATGACGTGTGCCTAACTCTGTCTGTTTACATGCACATACATATATACATATCTATGATATGTGTTTTCAGAAATTATTGAGGGCTCAGTCTTTAACCCCTTGCCATAAGTAGGTGTTTCAAACAACACTAAATTATTATTTATTAATTTTCATTGTAATTTATGAATATTGTTCATTTTAAAAGTTACTTGAAATGTTTTCTTTATAAAAGCACTCAGTATGTTGACGGTAAAAATAAATTCTTCATTGTTCATGAATTCTGACAAAATTTTCAATGAATTTATATACAAGTAACCTACTGTTTTTAGCAATAGTTTATAAAGTACATATGAAAAATCACTATTAACAGTCACAATATTTATATATATTCATTAGCCTAAAGACTATAATACATTCTTAATAAAGTTGTCATTGAATCTAAATGTGTAATTTTTAGATGCTCTTTTTGTGACAAAATACAGTAGAATAATTTAGGGACGTAATTCTGAATAATTGACTCATTGGTTGAATCTTTATTTTGCTTCTATTTGAAAATAACTCATAGAATTCTTTTAATAATTCTACAAAACCAATTATTTTACATAGGTACTTTCCCTCTAATTCATTTTTTAAATTACCTAAGTTACTATGATCAGTAATGCCAAAGTTAATTTTTTCTTGAATGACGATTATTCATAGCTTAACTTTTGGCATCTAAGACCCAAAGATATTGTTAAAAATACAATGATTACTCAAAATGTGATGTGGTTTTATTTACATACCTAAATTTAATTTGATTTTATCCTAATATTTTATTTAGTACTTGCTTGTTATTGTCTCGTTGATTTATATAATTTTTTATTATTTTGCTATCAGATAAACTTACGTTAATTGTCTTAAATTAAAAATTTTGATATTTGTGATCAATATTTTTTTGTATTTTTATACTCTATGTATACAGACACAAAACAATAATGTAAGTTAATTTAGTTTGCAATCTAATTCTGAGAAAAAAGTAGTAGTTATTTTTAATAATACTCTATTTTAAATTGTATTTTATTACATTAAAATCATGTTGGCTTGTCACTATATATTTGTAATTAAAAGATGCACCTATCTTATAAATATTATAAATTAATTTAATTTAGTTATCTATTTTGCTCAATATTTAATGCTAGCATTATATTTGTGCAACAAAAATATATATTGTTATAATAATAAAAAAGTGTGAAATTTAAGAGGCTTTAAAAAATTTTCTCATTTTGTTATGTTTATTTGTATATAATTAGGACATTTTAATGATTAAATATGCTATCAATAATATTACTGTTACTTACTTTTATTTGAAAGTTTTTAAGAGTATATAAAAATATAATATAATGGATAGTCATCTGGCGGAGAGAAGGAATTATATATTTTATATGGTGCAGTAGTAGGACAATAACAAAACAGTATATTTTATTTTATTTATTTTTTTTCACAAATTTTTTTAAGATTAACTATTTTTTAAACATTTATATATTTTTTTAAATAATATCCCCTATGTGTACACTTAATTATTTAATTGTTTTTTACATTATTTATAATATGAATTTTATTTTTCAGGTTGCAATGGCAACTGGACAAGTGTTGTTTCAACGATTTTACTATACAAAATCTTTTGTTCGTCACCCAATGGAAATAACTGCAATGGCATGTACATGTTTGGCCTCTAAAGTTGAAGAATCACCAAGACGTATTCGGGATGTTATTAATGTTTATCATCATATTCGTCAAGTTTTAAATCAAAAGTAAGTTTAAATATTATTTTTATACTTTTAATATATATTTTATTTGAATTATTGAATTATGTTTAAATATTTTTAATCACAACTGACTAATCTGTTTGCTTATGTTTCCATCATATGTATAGATCTCTAATCTTCAAGGTTTTAAAATTTAAAATATACATTTTGTCTTAAATAATTATATATTAAAATATATTAATTATATATTAAAATATATTAATTAAATATTAATTTAATCTTAAATAATAAGTATTATTTAATTTTTCAAATGTTTTTATTTAACCCTGGAGATAGAGTATATACGCTTCACTGTTTAAAAGTTGGGCTTTTAATATTTTTTTTCTATTTATTTTTACAAATTTAAAATATTACATTTAATAAATTAGTACTTTCCAAGTATAGTATAATTAATAATTACTATTTGAATATAACTCCTAACCATGTACAATCAAATATCTGAAGTCTAGAAATATTCAAAATTAATTATTCATTAAATCACAGTTCTTAAAGATAGTGTGTGTGCTATACTATAATATTTATAAGTAATTTTTATTATATGATAAATAAATCACGAGTTGTTTTTAAACTTAATTCCTCAATTACTGACTAATAAACATGATCATTAGTATCAAAATATATTTGTATAGGTAAAGTGGGTATTATAAAATGGTACATTATAAAATGATTAGTAACATTTAATTTAATCGTTATTAAAATTTAATTTGTTTCTAATCAGTAACTGTATTTGATGATTTTAATTTTAAGAGCAATATAAAAATATTTTTATAAATTTGTTGATTTTTAGTTAAAATATTTCAATACATCATCTAAAATACCATGTTTGTGTACTCTAATGTATATTTTTGGTGCATACTATCTAGGTTGAAATTATTCAAATTGGATGTACCCGTAACAAAATTATTTTGATTTATCAAATGAATATTTTCTAAATTAATTATTTTGTCTAATCTATCAGGTGCATCAGGTAATTCTAAGGGTCTAAACTCATTATTTTGGAAAGTGAACTTCTTAAAAATATTTTTTTACAAAATTTCATTTCAAAAGAAATTATAATTTTTATCGTTATCATATTATAAGTTTTTATATTTTTTTAAATGACATGCATTTTTAATTTTATATTCCAAATTAGAATATAATTTGGAGTATTTAAATTTATAAAAATAAAATTTCGGACAAGTAGTTCACTAATTAATGTATTAACTTTTTATTTAAAATTAAATTTCCATATATTAAATACTCCAAAAAAATTTTTTGCTTTGGAATATGAAATTAAAAATGTATGCTATTATTTTTAAAAGTTAAAGGCTTAAAAAGTAATTATCATGAAATATTGTACAAAATAAATTTTTTTAATGTTTTGTATAAATTATTATCGAACTATGTAAAAGAAATATCTTTAAAAAAGTTAAAAGTTTTCAAAATAACTAGTGTAGACACTATTTAAGTGTCACTCTTTTTAATGCCTTATTAATATGCATTGCATACATATAAACTTAAGTGTAAATATAACAGCACACTTCTTATAAAAACTTAAGTAAACACTGAGGTCAAACACTTAAAAACATGTTTACATTTTTAATTGTAGAAATTGTCTTCTACAATATTAAGTTAAAATTTTTTAAGTTACTTAGATCTTAGATGTTTAATAACTTTTAGATATCTTACAATAGTCGCATATCGTACAAAATTCTTAAATGTTCTAATATTTCTATTGCTATGAATAAATGCAGAATAACAGAATATATTTTCTTATGACATTATATATTTATATAAGTTATATTAACAAAAACTAATTTTAAAAGGAAAATTAATGTTTTCTAAAGTAATTTGTTTTAAATTTCTTACAATACTATAGATAAGTGTTTTTCAACCAGTATGTTGCTGGATAAATTTAAATATGTTGTGAAGTATATAAGGCAAAATATATAAACATTTTTGTCATAATTTTCAAAAATTAATAAGTATTTGATATAATATTTATAATTAAATGATTATATATATTAAATAAGTTATGTGTTATTGAAATATTTGTCATTATTTTCTATGTTATATTTTTTCTTTGTTAATTTTAATTATCAATTAAAATTAAATATTACCCATTATTATTTTTTTTTATTGTGTTGCAAAATATGAAATATTTTAATAGTGTAGTGTCATAATACATAATTTGAGAAACATTGCTATAGAGCACAAGTAAAAAAAAAAAAAAAAAACAAGTTTAAAATAATATGATTTTTAAGAAATCCTAAAACTAGCTATTTATCATAATTCATCATAATGTGTTTAAAAAAAAAAAAAAATGTACTTATTTATTACTTGTACATTTATTAAATGTTAATATTTTTTGTTATTCTGTTGTGTGTGTGTGTGTGTACTGTGTATGAATTGTATACAGGTTGTGTGTGTTAACCCTAATTTTTTCCTTTAATGATAAATTTATTCAAATCTTAATTTTTGAAATTTTCAAGTTTACTTAAATAGACTATATTTAAATATTTAGATTTTGTAAGTAATTTATTATGCGCAGTTTGTAATTGTGGGTTGTTAAGCAATCATTTACAAAAATAAGTAGTTTTTGATTTATTAAATTTTATCAGTTATCTATTTAAGGATAATAGTCTTTAATAATGGTTTTACATAAAAAATAAAATAGATTTAATATTCTACAGTTTAAAATGTTAATATGAGTAACAATAATTTTCAAAATATGTCATGGGGACCATAACATTTTCAAAAACCAACGTTTTCCAAACTTTGTTTATTAAATATCCCCTTTATATTCAAAAGTCTTACGCCGCCCCTGATTAATTTTTTGATCTGCATTTCACCATTATTTTAGTTGCAGTAGTTCCTTTTTCTTTGAAATTTATCCAAAAAAAAAATTCTAAGATTTTAAGTATGCAATGACAAATTAATTTATTTGTATATGTATAATATTTCTTAATGAGGTTAATGCATCTGATATTTCTTCGAAATATTCAATTCAATACAATGTGGGTTAATAGTGATCTGCAATTATAATTATTCTTAAAATGTAATATAACTACATACATTAGTCCTGCAACATTATGATAATGTGACTGTTGAAAGAAAATTCAGATTTAAAATATTTATATAGAAATAGCCACCATCCACTTTTACCACACAATACCCACAATCAAGATTGTAACTTCCATTGCCCCCTTTGGATAGTTTTATTGCTCACTTTAGAAAACTGCTCTAAACCTATAATAAATTTATGTCCTTAATGTATAAAGTTTAATAATTTAGAAACTACTCTTTTAAATTAAATTTTTATTTAAATATCTTCAAAAAAATCATATAATTCAGAATTTTAATAAATGAAAATTAAAGAAAAAATGAGGGTGAGTATGTTTGGTGAATTACTTTGTATTTATATAAATATTTAGAATCAAATTACTAAAAAGTTACTATGTGTTGACTTTATGCGATAACTGTAAGATGAACAGAAATACATTGTTTTTGTTGCAGTTGTTTTGTACTCATTTATATTTTTAAATTATCTAATGCAACAAAGTCAATAGTTATTTATGTTTATTCAAGTGCAAATATAACGTACAAAATTTATTTTATAACTTGCGTTTTCGCAGATACTTTCCACAGCTAACTGCCGGGTGAGTTACCCTCGGTTTGAATTGTGGAGAGGAAAGCGAATGTGGTGAATTCACATTGAAATTGATGGTCGTCACGTCAAGATTACTGTTGGACCCTTTAAAACTATATTATTACATGATTTAATCAAAAATAAGCTAAGAGGTTCCCATTAAAAAATTTGTTAGGGTTTTTCAAAAAATATATATTAATATATTTATCAAAACAACAGGTACAGTATAAAACTAATATGCATATTGCATAACATATTATGTGCTCTATTTAGTGATTATACTTAATTATTTAAGTTTTGTACTAAACAAACAAAGAATTTCACAGATAAATAAATTGTAACTGTTGTTTCCATGTTGAGATTCAAGATAGCAATCATGTTTGAATATGTTATGAACTATTTGAACGTTATTATTCTACATCTTATAAGGTACCTCTATTTGTAATTAAAAAGAATTTTGATAAAATCTAAAGTTGAAGTAAAATTAAGTACTCAATAACATGACAAATTTAAAAATTATTAAATATCTAAGAGTCTGATAATTGCTATGTTTAAAGATATTAAATGCATTTCAAATTAAGTATTTATGACATTTAAACTGTAATACATAACTTAATACTAAACAATCTTTATTCATACTATCAGAACCTTAATTATTTTTGAATAAATTGAATAAAAAATATAATATTCAGTATTGTGCTTAATACATATATTTATTATTAGATCTAGATTTAATTATATTATATATCATAATATTTATTGTATTCAATCTGTTTTTAGTGAAAAAAATTGATTTTAAAATTGATTATAAATATCATACCAAAAATTTATGTAATATTAAATTATTGTAAATTTTGGTATTATGAGTATATATTGCATTTTTTATGTCTTAGTGACTTAGTAAATCAGGATCTCAGGATCAGTCTATCAGAGCCAAATAGACAAATAAATCAATTAGCCACTTGTTCATTAAGCAGTATCTACTTTATTAAGAAAATATAATGTTGTATAAAATAAAAATAATAGTTAATCTTAATATAATTTTACCTTTAAGTAAATGTAGTATTCTATAATTTATGATTTAAGAATTTAAACAAGAAAATTAAATTAACAATAGCTGTAGACTATTTGTAAGGAAGCTATATAAATAGTTATGTATTTTTCTATAACAATTTTATTAGTACTTCAAAATAAATAATAAATTTAGTCAGTTGTGGTTGATCATACTATTCATTTTTTATTGTTTTACTATGGTATTGCCATGTCATTACTAGTTCAAAACAAGACAAAAAATACCCTGCCACTGTTGCAGATTGATTTCGCCGTTGGTACTTGATCAAAATTATGTACAGAAAAAGATGCAGGTAATAAAAGCGGAACGACGCGTGCTCAAGGAGCTTGGCTTTTGTGTACATGTAAAACACCCGCATAAACTCATTGTAATGTACCTACAGGCACTTGGATTTGAAAAACATCAATCAATCATGCAGATGTCCTGGAACTATATGAATGATTCATTACAAACCGATGTATTTGTTCAATTTTATCCAGAAACTATTGCTTGTGCTTGTATATATCTGTCAGCTAGGAAATTAAAAATACCTTTGCCTAAACGTCCAGCATGGTACTCTTTATTTAATTCAAATGAAACAGACATCCAGGACATCTGTCGTAAAATACTCAAACTTTATCTTAGGCCAAAAGTGAGTAGAAAATTATAACTTATGTTCACTATAACCATGTTTGTTTGATGTTACTTTTCAGGTTATTACAGAAGATTTAGAAAAGCGAGTTGAAGAATCAAAAAAAGAATATGATCATGCCAAGAAGAAAGCTAAAGAAGCAATTGTTCGTTCAGTAGTACAAACGAAAGCAATAATGCCTAATTCAAATAATGGAATAACTGCAGCTATCCCTGAAAACATTAGTTTAACTACCTCAAATAAGTATGCATTTTCTTCTGAGTTCTCACATTTTTACATACATACTCTCACTTATATATGTTAATTATATTGAATTCATTTTATAGAAAACCAATCAAAAAAAGAAGTAGAAGTATAACACCTTTGAAAATTAAGTCTAGAAGTAAAAGTCCAAGATATTTAAAGAAATCAAAAAAAAGAAAGTAATAAAAAAATTTATTTTTCTAATTTTATAACATGCAAATATTAAAAATATCATGTTTTAAGTATAGTATTTAAACAATTAAACTATCTTTTAGTTTTATTGATTATTATGAATGTTTTTTTTGTATTGATTAGTCATGTTTCATAAATAATTTTCTTTTATTTCAAATATCTCATTTTATAAATTATAAACAAATAAATGTTTTATGAAATATAAAGCTAATTGAGATTTTTACTAATAAATATATATTATTTTTATATATATTTTTACTCTATTTAGGTTGAGAATAATTTAATAATCAATTTTGTGTACACTGATTGAATTTCTGAACACCATCAACTCTTTAGGCGATTTACAAGGGCTTTGACGTTGAGTCGTAAATTTTGTCATTTGTTGTTTATAATTGCTAATGTTGGTTAACAAATGATTACTTTTAACCTGATTATAGTTTAATAACAAATATTATTTATTAGTTATTACATATTTATACTTGATAAAATACAAACTTATTTTATTTTTCTGCAGAAAATTGAGACGTTTTTCTAATGCATTATATTTAATTATTTTTCAGATTAGTACCGACTTACAGAGACTATAAAGAATACAAAGATTACAAAAATTGCAGAGATTACAAAGATTATAAAGATTATAGAGGCAATGAAAATTATAAATCTAAATCTAGAAACTACAACTATCGTAAAAGATATTAATAGTCATATACTTATAATATACTCTTAAAAATGTCCTATATTTAAACATTGCTTGTTTAGTAAATTTCAAATCAAGTATATTTTTCTCAAATCTATAATACATGTGTGTTAATTAATTAAAAAATCAAAAGTCAAGTTCATGATAAAGTGCCATCTTTATTAATGTAATATAATAGGTTTGACTATTAGCCTTATTTTTATTGTAATTTACAAAAATAAAATGTCTAGTGTCTACATACCTTTAAAATAATCATTGTATAGATTTAATTATTGATAATATTGATAAAAAAAAAAAAAAACATTTTTGAACAAATGTGAAGTGAGAGTAATTTATAATTACTAATTATGAAATTTGCAAATTATACGTTTTATATTTTTCCAATAGTTAGCTAAAACAAATTATTTGACGAACATACCTTGTTAATATTTATTATTGTATAATATATTTAATAATAAAAATTACTAAATCAAAATTTCAAATTCGGTCTATTATTCAAAATAATGTTAAACTTAGATTAATTAGAATCAGTGGTAGATTAACAGTCAATGGGGAGGGGGCCCTGGGATACTGGGCCCTAAATACTAATATTTATTTTTACTATGTATTAGATAGGGTTATTTACATATCTATTTCAAATATATTGTAATAATATGTTGAATAACTTTTCAACAATGATATATTTATATAAATATTATATAATATAAATTATTAACAAGTAGTCTGTTCTTTATTAGATTTGTATTATCTTTTTAAATATTATAAAAAATCTTAAAATGTTATAATTTGCCATATTTTAAAACTATAAATTTCACTTAATTATTACAACTTCAATAATATTATAAGTAACTAAATAAATTGACTATTTTTAAATTTTAAATTATGGTAAAATGGATAAGAAAATTAGTTATATACTATACATTACACGAAAATCTTCCTAAGATATTCATAATTAAATAAAGTTACCAATTACCTATTGTATAAATTATCTTACTGGCTAACCAAATTACATAATAAATTAGATTGACCTAGTCTAAAATGTTCAACCAAATTAGACTAAAATAATCTTGTTTTTTCCTAACATTAAATTCACTCTACAGGACAAGCTTATATTATCTAGGTCAGTGGTTCCCAACCTGGGAGGCGTATACACATCGCTGGGGAGGCGTAAGCAGTCACCACAAAGTAAAATTTTTATTTATCAAATTTTATTATATTTAAAATTCCACTATAATACTATATTATTTACAATTATTTATATTTTATAATAATTACTATCATTAATAAAAAAGTAGTCTTTTCGAATATTATATAGTTTATTTGTAAAATGTAGAGTAAACAAAAAATTATAATTTTTTCAATTTATAAGTGAGGGCGCGAGATTTTTGAAAATCTACAAAGGGGGAGTAGAATAAATAAGGTTGGGAACCACTGATCTAGGTTAATATTGTACAACAAATAAAGTTTTTTTTTTATTATTGAAATTATTAAGTAGCAACAGCAAAGGTTATTGGCTTTAGACAACACTAATAAAGTTATACTTTTTGATTCTTGTATTGAAGAATAGTCGTTATTTCAAAATCTATTAATGTTTTTGAAAAATAATTTTTTATATAATTTTTAGTAAAACAAATTAATATTTTCATATTATTTTAAATTATTAACTTTTTTGAATGATAATAAACATTTTTTAATTAATATTCTGAAGAAAGATATAATTCTGAGTATTATGATTCATGAAAATCAAAATAGTTTAAGCTAATAGTTGAGTATCAGTTAAAACTTAAAAGTATTTAAAGTTGTGGTAAGCAAAGTAATAGACCAATATTGTACAGAGTATCTCCATACCTATCCACTCCACTCATCAAAACATTTAACACTTAACACATAAATCACTCATCCGAATTTAAATTAGAATATATCAAAATACAATTTAAAAAGTAAAAAAAAACTTTAAAAAAATTGTAATGATAAGTAATATTTTCAAAAACATTGATAGATTTTGATATAATGAGTGTTGTTCATTAAAATAATAGCTCTGTATGTATAAATACATTATTTTTACAAATAATTATTCAAAAACTAATCATAAATCTTCGGATAATCATTAATAAATAATATTAAAGCTGCATTTATTTTTCATTATTAGCCAAGTCTATTTAAGTTAATTCTATAGCATGAATTTTAATATTGATAAAAAAAAATAATAGATTATTCTAGCCTTAACTGGTTAATTTTTTGTTTTTGAAGAAAGTAATTTATCATGAAATTAGGTTTGATCAGTTACATATTTATACAATATTGTTTATCATTATTTTTCCTTATGTCATCTCTTTGATTATTATACTAATGAAAACCACAGAAAATAGATATTATGTTTATTTTAATTAAAAAAATAAAAACCTGATTATAAATAATTTACTATACTCTATTCACATTAAGAACATTCTACGCATTAGCCATTTTTTATTGTTAGTGGCCAAATAATGTAGATAGTGAACTTGTCCTCCCCCCCCCCCCCTTAGAGACTATTATCATAAGTGAAATGTTGTGTGGAACAGCATCCCTGCTCACAATTCGGTGTCCATGTATAAATTTTAACGTGAATAGAGTACAGAATATATTTAATGTACAAATATATATGTATTGTGTAAAAATTTATTTGTAACTTTATAAATGTTTAGTATTTGTAAAATTAAATTTAAAAAAATAAATAATTAATTAACTGTGATAATATAAGATTTTTTTTTGAAGTTTTAATGTGTATGTACTTAATTGAATTAGTCATTGATTTAGTCTCTCTACATTTTCGTCTTCATGAAATTTTTATATGCTAAGTTGTAAGATAAATGTACAAGTACAATTTTTCATCGATATTTTTTTTTGTGTTTGTTATTGCATTTTGGAATAGTGGAAATACTTCAATTTTTTACTAAAAGCACGGTTTCTAATAAAAATTGGATATATTTCGAGAGAGAAATAAAAAATTCCCAGTATTTATCAAAATAATCGAAATAAAAACAAAAAATATTGAAAACCACAATTATTTTACACAAAACTAGTTTTTTTTTAACAGCATTTTATACACTTGGTATAATTTTTGAAAGATTTTGACGAGATATTTATAAATAATAAAAAATTTTATTTTTTTATAAATGTCTATAAATATTATTTTGCTCAATTAACATTATTTACGGTTAAACACATAATATCTTATTATTTAATGTTCACGAAGGTGGATACGTCATATGTAGATTATTGAGAAGTCGGTAAAACAAAGCAAATTATTTCTTTAGAATTTCCTTTTCAGTACACATATTTTATCTACAAGAAAAATGTATCATTCAGCTGTAATGAAGTAAATCGTATTCCTACTTTTGAACAAATTATATGATGAATAAAATTAACGATTTGATAAACATCACAGTCAATTTTGACCTCTGTTTCCCTACATTAGATCTGTACTCTACAATAATTATTATATCTTATTTATACCCAAAAATTTCGAAAATTTAAATTAATTGACTCTTGAAGATCAATAATTAAAGTTTTTGGCTTCAAAAATTTGTGACATATTCTCAAAATTAAACCCACTTGACACCTAAATATGGAGTATTAATTAATAGGTGGCCGGTGGCCTACACAATGATAATAAATGAATTATAAAATATATAATTTTACAGTTAATAGTTTGATTTCAAATTAGATTGCTACACTCAGTATTTGATTTTATAATAACGTGCTTGTATGTGTTTTTTTTGTATGTATAAACATTTTATGGTAAAAAAAGATTTTTTGATCCTCAACTTCAAGGATGGTTTTTGATAGGAAATTGGATGTATAGCTGATACTTTTGGGAAAAAAAAAAATCAAAAATGTATTATATTTTTTAAAATAATCTTCATTTTTAAGTAAAATTATATTGTTATAATTAAAAAACAAATAACCCTTTTCACCAGTGGTTTTCAATCTTTTTAGGACCGTGACCCAAATTTTCTTCCAAAATCTATCTCGACCCCCATAGTTTCACATTTACAGAATCAAAAAAGTAATTTCAAAAAAAAAATTTTTTTATTACTTATTTACTACTTTATAATAATAATAATTGTAATAACTCTTATGTTACTTTATACTTCTATTATAGTTCTATAGTCTATACTCTATAGTTCTATACAATTTAAAAACATAAATTTCTTACAATCTGTATAATTAAAAAACTTTTCGCGACCCTCCAAAAATTGACTTGCGACCCACAGTTTGAGAAACGCTGCCTTACATACTTAAAATGTTTACCAAATGCTTGTATTAGAATTTTTTATAAATGGTTTCATTATTTAAAATACCTACGTAGATTCTTTCTGTGCTATTTTAATATATTTAATTTCAAATTTTTAATATTTTTTTATTTTATTATAAAATTATCCAGCGATTTAAAATTCTTGAAATTGTATTATAAATTTCTAGGATGTTGTTATTATAGCTATTTGAGCAATTTATATATGTATAAAAATATATGTATATATATATCCATAATTTTTTTTTATAGGCATTTGAATTTCAAATGTCGATGGAATAAGTTATTTAAATGAAGAACGATGATTTTTGTTATTTTGGTATAATTTAAAAATAGACTTTTTTAGGTATATTGAATTGGGTATATACTATATACTGTTATCATATTATCTAAGGCTGATACAAGAAACTGAGACAGGACTTGTATACTTGTATTTTTGAATCGGTTATCGTTTATCTAGTAAGTATAACATAATCAAGGCTGTATCCCGAGAAGAGGGGCCCAATGGGTCGGTCCCCTCTGAAATTTCTTAAATAGTTTAAAAATGTGAATAATAACTATTTATTTTTAAAACTAACATAATGGCTAAAATTACGATTTATTAAATTGACTAGATAATGATTGTTTTGTATTATAATATCGTATGAAAATATTATTATATCGTCTAATAATAGATTGTTATTGATCGACAACGATCGTTATCGATGCCGGTTAACGACGATTAATAATAACAATATTATATTTATGTAAATTAAAAATATTAATATATTATATAATTATATACTTTCGTTCGCTAAACAGTGACAAACATGTCAAATTGTTTTATTAAATTCATCATAACGAGTAACAAAAATGTACTTTTAATATTTTTCTTA